GGGAAAAGGCACCCATGCAGTTTTGACTGCAATAAGCAACACCCTTCCTCAAACAAGTAATGTCGTTGCATTTTCCACTGTCCGAAATAGCAATGGATTTTGCAAAGCATATAAGCTATTGCACATTTCTTTGCGAATTAACTCTCATAATTTGCTTTAAATCACCTCCTTTTTTGGCACCACACCCTGGAGTGAAGTTTCTTATTTAAAACCCTCGCGACAACGGCGGTCGCAGCGGCGCTATATTGCGCCCACCTAGAGAAATATGCCGGTAATCCAACGCGAGCCGTACCGATGTAAATTCACCAGCGCGGCATTTGCATAATGCTACCCAAAACAATATGCAATTTGATTCGGCGCTCTATTGCCGGCGTCGCGTGGTGTATGAATATGGAGAGCGGAAGCGGTGCAGGTCGCCGTGTAACCGCCCCCGGCCAGGAGGTGTGAGAATGGCCGCCGGGTCAGGGAGACAGCCTGGAGTCGGGCTAGCGGAAGGAAGGAACGAGTTCATTGCGGTAACGGGAGTCTATTCGAATTTGCTGTCTTTAATTTTTGCTTACCTGCCTATTGTGATTGCAATGAGTGTCGGTGATTCAGACCAATTAAATGTTGTTTCCTCAAGCGGGTGGCATATTGCGGCAATCATAAAATAGCGCATAATAGTTACAAGCAACGTGAAGTTGATGAAAATGAAGGCATTTGCTTTATATGATACCTATTCGTAGGAAGGTTAGCAGAAATGTGCAAAAAAAAAACTAGCTTATATACGTACCACAATTGTTTTTTTTTATCGCCTGGCCTGGTGCCACGCTGGACTGCTTACGGTGTCGGAAGTTGTTAATTATTTGACGCCACACTGCATTACATTTATCACGATTTTGAGTTGCCCAATTGAACATCATCATTGGTGCAGAGCTCGCCTGGGGCTCATGAATTATTGAGTGATGGTTATAATCATTTGTTCCCTAATGAATCCCGATGATTAAACCCTTATCAGACCAGACGAACTGTGAATAAATATTCCTCATCCAATGAACACAGCTCAATAAAAAACGATAAATCCTTCATTTGAATTTATCCCTCCGCCAAATCCCATCCCGCAGAGGGCTGAAAAGCTGCCAGAATATCCCGGACGTCACGATGCACACGACGGCGGTATTTCACGCGCTGTCTGTCGGGCTCCGTGTCTGATCCGGTTAAACCAGCAGCTCTACGGCGCTGCTCTGTTTTGACTCTGTGTATTGTTGCCGTTGGGCTGCGCGGCCGGCCTCCTCGGCGCCGCCTGCATTGTCCGCCTCCCCTGCGGGACTGCCGAAGCCGTCACAGTCATTGTCCTGCCGCTTTGGAGCCGCACATTGCCCCAGTCTCCCCATGCCCGTGGTCCCCGCCGCCCCCGGTCGCTCGCGTCGCTCCCCATCGTCCCACCCCGCCGGTATCCCGGGCAGGACGCAGTCAAGAGACACAATGCGGCAATTTATGAGGTGCGATTCACCGGCAGATAGAGGACCGGGCCAGCCGGCAGTCCGTCATATGCTAACGACAAACGGACGAGCGGTGTATCGAGGACCGATGCGATGGGTGCCTGTGGCCGGGGTTCCGGCTCAGGGACGGTTCAGGGGTCTCAGAGTGGAGGCACGGAGGAAGTTGGTCACGGTGGCTAGAAAGGAAAATTGATGGGTTTGATGCGGGTGGTGTCTTCAAAAACAAGTGCACTAGGTGTGGAGTCCCATGCAGGCGTGGGGTGTGCGGTCGATTATGGTTGAGGGATGCTTGACTGCAGCCATTTTGTATGAAGCATAAGCTTTTTGCAAATGAAATAACGTAACTTCGCCGTCACTTCACCCCAAATGGCACTTAGTGCAAGGCCGTTTACAGTATTGCAGGCCCAATGTTTTTTTCCTGATAAAGTAATTCAATGCATGCCGTGCGTCGTCTCGATTACACATTTTATCATTTCACTGGTACTCGTAGCAACAAAAAGTAAAATAGCCCAAACAATTGCAAGATGGGCAATGTAGACTTCGACGCAATAAACGCAACCGATCTCGACTCATTTCTTAGTTGGATGGCATTGGAACTGCGTCTAGCTTCATTGAACCCTGTGCCCGGGCTATAAACTCTCGGTCTCGGTAACATACGGACGGTGGGGCAGTGTCGATAGTAAACCGTATATCGGACGGCTGTGGCCACTGGCCAGCTCCGTATGAGTAAAAATTTACCTCTGATCATAAGGTGGAGAAGTTGCGCTTTAGATGTAGAACGTGATAACGCATAATCTGTTATTCAACGAAGCCTGTCGGCTGTCACGTCTTCGCTGTGCCGAGGAAATCAACTATAATTTGAGGAGAAGCTTGTGAATCGGATTAGATCTTCAATGCTAATTTTGCTAATAGAATTTCCGTACTGATGTATGTACCGAATAATGCAAGAATGGCAAATCCCATTTAATCCACTTTGATGGTGTTTTGTGAGTGCAGAAGAAAAAAAAAGATAACTATAATTATATATTATAGATTATATAATTATAGAGCATCAGTTTTTGTTTAAATGGATTATGGAATTTCCATAGAACCCAACATTGATATTGTGGTTTTTGAAATATAGCTGGCCCTCAGCCTCCGCTACGAGCACCCTGTCAAAAATTAGTGCGGAAACAGCAAAAAGTATGCTTCTCAAAACCGGTGAGTAATTTGAAGAGATTTTATAAAGTTCTCTCTGCTGAGAAACAAAAATAAAAATGTTATTAGGAAACATAACGTGAATTTACATCGCAATGCATAAGGCTGCGAACTCAGATTTTCCGAAATCCGAGTTTTGGGAAATTATGGATCTCTCGAGGCATAATAAGTAATAGTCAAAGCTATCAAAGGTACAAAAGTTATAGGTGGGCCCCCGGCAACGGTCACTACCTCCTACCTGAACTTAGGTATATCGAGGTTCAATAAGTATCTTAGATTCACAAAAATGGCATGCCTATAAGGATCGAGTGTAATTACTGTGTGTCTAAAAAAGCAAAACTAATATGCAGCACATTTTTTTGTGCGGCGCTACCCTAAGCTGCCGCGACATATCGACAAGCAAACCTTTTTATATCGAAACTATGCCGATCCCAGGCCAGTAGTCCAATGAGCTGGATCTAACATGAGAGGTTTACTGTTACTAACAGCGTTGTTGGCAGGCGCGGTCAGACACCAGTGTCAGCGAAAGACCGCCAACAGACCACAGACTGCCACGGCACCCCGCATTGCGTCAGATTTGATCAGCAGTGCCGAGGCGAGAATTCCCCTGCCGCATTACGGCGTCCATAATTCGGTGGTTTAGGGTAGTCAGGTTTGTCAAAATTCTAGAGAAAAAGGATGTTGAAAAGAAGCACACAAAAAAAAAACATTGTTCGCTCGGTGTGCTGCTGGATAAAGAGAACAGCTTCATGCTATTCAATACAATGCTACGAATTGGGGACCGGTCGTCTTGCGCGGTCAGGTTTTCAGACTGGTGCAGGCCATGCAATTCTGACCAGGCTTGCTATGATGGATAACATCTAGAAAATATTTTCTTAGCACTTTGAGATGGAAAATGTCTCTTTCCACCCTGTTCGCTCCATCAAGACAATTGCCTCAATCTAGAAGAAACGATTTAATTCGCCAAAGAGGAGAGCTCCGACCGCACCGAGGCGGGACAAGCTTCGCGCAGACATTCTATCTGTTCGCTCTGAACACCTCCCGTCTGCGCCAGCGCGCTCGCAACCAATGAATGCTCGTTTGTATTCCGTCTGCGGCGAACACGGGCGCGAAGAAAGAGATCCAATTAGAACTGGAACAGAGGAAACGACCGCTAATTCTGTGCGCGGCCTCAGCATCGCTTGTTGAGATGATGGCCTTATTCAAAGCGTCCGACTTCAAAGCCAAAGGCAGTGCGTTTGGGGCCAGCGTGCGAATGCAAATGTCAATCTCTGAGTGGATGTTTTTCGCAGTGTGCAGGCGCGTCCATTAGTAAAGTGAATTAGTCGGATTTGCATTTCACCGAGCCGAAACGGGCGGCAAGTTTATGTTTTTTTTACTCGCGGCGGCGCTGTCACTGTCAGCTGGGCGTTGTTCGTCTCCGGTGGAGCGTGAGCAGCGATGGCAGCTGCTAAAACTTCTACAGCAGCATCCGAAATTGGCTCTGACGTGTGTGGACGGCTGTCGGCAGACGTCGAGCAGACGCATTAATGCCCGCGGAGCCGAACAGAACCGCTGTTAGTGTCGGAAGACATCACTGGCTTTAGCAGGAGAGGTTTTGGACAGGGAATTTGATGCGAGGCGATCGCCTCTGATAATTCGGAGGAAAAACTGGCATGATATCAGAATGGCGTTTGCATTTGAATATACCTATGCTCGAAAGATCTACCCATTCTACACATAGTGTTGAAGGCTGCATCAGCTCGAGTCATGCTTAGCTATGTGGAATCATCATTGCCCTGTCCTCTTTGTCTCTTTTCATAATTTTGTGAAATGAACGAGCCAAGCTGACGCAATACAAACCTGCCACGTGTCCACATAGCATTCCACCCGCCTCTCTTGGTGGAGGGCTCGGCTGGGTTCATGTAAACAATAGCCCTCAGACACTGGAGATGATAGCTCGTGACAGTCATGGAATAGCTTGTCATGTTCAACCGTCGTGGCTTATACTGCTTTTCTTATCGTTAGAAATGGACATTAAACAATAACACGTCCATTACGATTATAGTTTTTCTTGCAAAACGCAGTCATGTTTTGTGTTTGTGAAAGATGAAGTGCATAAAATACCCATTTCACATTTGCTTATCCAACTATCGTAGGCATTTTTCATTTGAGGTGATTTCGCATTTAGCTTAACAAATTGGTTTTGCCTAGTGGGAGCAACGACTATTACTGCAGAAACCTTCAGCTCTATGCCGGGCCCCCGCGGGGTCTGCTTTGACACTGACCAGACTCCAGCCAGAAACGTCAACAATTCCGTCACGTACGGGTCTGGTCGGACCAGGCTCTCCATGCCACAGTCGCGTACTTCCCTCAGTCCCCCGCGCAGTGTGTTTTCGTATCCCCACCCGCTGACAAGGACATCATCATGGCTTATCAGATCGTCGACAGTAACTACGGAAAGAACTGGGTGAAGCTACTGCACGTGACTCGTAACGGGCCGGAGCACACGATCCGCGAATGGGAGGTGTGTAGCGAGCTGACGCTGGACTCCAAGGACGACTACATGAGCGGTGACAACTCAGCCATCATCGCCACCGACTCGCAGAAGAACACCATCTACCTGCTGGCCAAGAACCACGGCCTGACGACGCCGGAGGAGTTCGGCCTGCTCCTGTGCCGTCACTTCCTCGCCCAGTACTCGCACGTCAATCGCGTCAACATCCTCATCAAGCAGCACCCCTGGAGCCGTATACAGGCGGCTGACGGTCCTCACGAGCACGCCTTTGTGACTGTCCGCGAGGCAGAGCGTGGCTGTCAGGTGCGCCAGCTCCGCGGCCAGCAGGCCACCGTCTGGGCTGAGCTCAACGGTCTCCAGGTGCTGAAGACCACCCAGTCATCGTTCGTCAACTTCGTCAACGACGAGTACCGCTCTCTGCCGGACGCCCAGGACCGCGTCTTCTCGACGGTGGTGTCGGCGCGCTGGAGGTACGTCTGCTCGCAGCGTCCCGTCGACTACGACGCCTGCTGGTCGGCGGTGCGCGAGGCCATCCTGGAGCTGTTCGCCGGGCCGGCGCGCGGCGGCATCTTCTCGCCGTCGGTGCAGAACACGCTGTACCTGACGCAGGTCAGGGTGCTGAACCGGCTGCCCGACGTCGCTGAGATCGAGATGGTGATGCCGAACAAGCACTATTTCTCAGTCGATCTGTCCAAGTTTCCGCGCGTGGGCAGCGCGAGCAACGACGAGGTCTTTCTGCCCGTGGACAAGCCCTCAGGTAACATCAGATGCGTGCTGGCCAGGGCCAACTCCAAACTCTGAGCGGAAGAGCCGATGTTTATGACATTTATGATCTATTTGCCGAGAAATTGGCAATGACAATGACGATGGGCTGATATTGGTGATAAAATGGGAAAAACAAATGCATAAGCTGCGTGCTATAGTGCGAGTGAAGCAGTGTGTAAGTTGGTGGCGTCAAGTGCAATTAAATGGGCTCTGGCGGGAGTGCAGGGATCGTGCAATATCAACTATTGTTTTTAGTTCTGGGCTTGTGCCCGCTATACTATGATGCAATACATAAGTCGCATAATCGTAGGTTATTTTGCGTCCAATGTGAAATACCCGGCGTATGTAGGGAGGTAAGTACACAGTACTTACCTACCACGATTTCACAGTTTGTTTATGTGTGGCTTAACTATCTCATTCTCTTTTGCAAAGAATCTGTTTGCTGTAAACACTGACATATCAAGATTTATGTCTCACTATATTGATATCTCACGTATTGGTGTCTCATGATATTGAGTGTCGTCGGGTCGAAAGCAAATATAATTTTCTTGAATAATGTGGAAAAAAGAAAGAAAGCAAAGATAATGCCATGTCAGTTCAGTTGTTTATTATTCTTATTGTTGGTGGTGGGTAAGGTGAAATGAAAAAGTGAACGGTGACTACTGAATAAATAAACAGAGAAGAAAACCTGTTGTTTGTCAGGTTATCAGGTACAGAATGCATGCAGGCAGGTGAGCACATGGAGGAGACAGAAGGATGCCCTTAGGTGATTTTACGTCGACTGAGAAAGTACCTAGATCGAACGCTGCGGTATTTTTATTCTAAAACCATAAGTAAATATAAATTCTAGACCATAAGCAGATTATGAGAAGTAGCCTGCTACCAATGCTTCGCCCAGTATCCTTTACGATTAAGGTCGTGCTAGATAAAAAATCCCTATTGCGTCCGCCCAAAATTGGCCCGGATCCCTCACCGGTCACCCCATCCCGTCGGTACGCGAGGTATGCCGCGCCCCGTTGAGGTCTGGCAGGTTCCACGTCCTGTTGGGAAGGGGGAAGGCCCCCCGTCGTATCTCTGGAACCAATAGCCGGATCGGAAAAATTCAAACGGTATTCGAAAGAGCTCATCAAGATGCACAAGATAGGATATCGATGACCCTAATAATTGACCTGTGACGTCACAGGGAGGTCAAACAAGGTCAAATCAGTCCAATGACAATGACGAGAAGTAGGTCATAAAAATGAAATCTAAGTTTCCAAAATGAGTTTGGATATGATCTATATGATAGATCTGGCATGTGGATAGTCACCTGAGTGGATGATGACCTGTGACGTCACAACAGAGGTCAGCCTCGACCAATCAGAGAACACTTTCGTGAATCGTAAGGAAAGGCATGTTAAATTGGAAATATTTGAGTCTTTATAAAGACTACCCAAGATAGATAGATAGATAATGTATTAAGACCTTCCATGACATGGATTATATAGCGTCTACGTCAGTACAAAAGTGATGGTTAAAACACATCAATACAATACACTTCGTGTGATAAAAGGCGATAAATGAGACAGTAAAAAACGGCCGTTGCTATAAAATCGCACCCAATCTAGGTGAGCTCCAGCTACATCGTAGCATTCAGAGCCTTCACCGCACGGTAGAGGAAACTGCGCTTGGCAAACTCAGTCCGTACTCGGGGTAGTTCAGCCTGCCCGCTCTCACTGGCGCGTGTGCGGCGAGAGGACACATCGGACCGCGCCAACACTCGGCGGCGCAGCATCTCAGGAGCGTCACCCAATATACCCAATATACCCAATATCCCTTTATGAGGACATGTCATATACATGCATCCACAGAAGCCTCATCGACCATTTTTCGGGAACTATGACGTCACAGGAAGGTCAAACAATGTCAAATTGTAACGGTTAATTACAACGAAAAACAATTCCTTGCCCCAAAGTGATTTTACTCACTTTAAGTTGTGTAAAATTGATGTCCGAAGGTACTGAAAGTTTCAAGTCGAAATTCGCAGCCGATTCTGAGTTATCGGCGAAAACCACAGGGGGCCCTTCCCCCCCCCCCCCCCACGGGTTGCGGGTTAAACCTCAGTTTATGCCTACAATTCCAATATCGAATCGATAACAATCATTCAATGATCATTTTGCTCTTCTGACTTCTAACGAGCCGGACGTACTTGCCTAAACTCAAGGCCCGCCACTGAGGTCTTCTAAAAAGGGCAAAGGAAAAGCAGATATTTCCTTCATATGGAAACCTTGATTCCTCTATTCCTTCATATGGCAGTAGAACGTCATCAGAAAGTTTTGCTTCAATGATGGCGCGGTGAATACATTACAACGACCAGCTGGAATTGTGTAATCCGTGTGTATTTCTTTCGTTCAAGGGATAGGAATCTTGTACACTTCCCTGAACTGAGTTATTACATTTACCATTTCAGCAAGCACCATATTTTATCCAGCATGAGGTAAGGTTCAAGCATGTGCATCCTATTTTCTTCTCTGGTATTCTCATCTCAAGCCATAAGCTTCCAATGGCCTTCAACTGGATGCATTTTGCTGACAACTTTCCAAGGCACCATATCAGTTGGGGAAACTACGAGGCGAACGTCAAAAAATGGATTGGTCAATAAATGGACTTTTGATGACCATATATGGGCATAAATGCAGCCCCCGCTACTAAGGGTGAAAAACGGTATAACAAGCCGGTACTTGCGGTATCGCGTCCACTTATTGGAGAGAAAAGGCTTCCATTTTTCACTAGGAATTGGTGTGATTTGATTAAATTCGGCGAATTGACTCGAAAATGGCGATAGGAAAACGGCTTTTCTGCATGTTCTGGGCGTCGCAATCAGCTGGCCATTCAATAAATGGATTGGTTTTATGAAAGAAAATTGTTAAAAGATTTAATTTAATTACAATAAACAAAAATATTTAATTCTAAAATAATAACTTAACTACAATTAGAAAAACCATAAACAAAATCATAAAAATAATGACATTTTTAAACCACGGTACTGCTTACATTTTTTGGCGCGTCTGTTTCAATCCGCCATATTTGCCAATCACGGTTTGACCTTGCGTTGTATCTCTGCGATTTAGAGCCGCCAGTTAATTATGCACCGGGTGAGTGTAGGCCTTGTGTGGTTAAAAAACATCCTTATGCCTTATTTTTTCATTTGAATGCTAAAATTCATTGAAAAGATGAAGTTGTCTGATTTTATGACCATATATGGTCATCGCCCCGCCCACTCCAGACGCTGATTGGCTAATCCAATTTTTGTTTGGCTCCTCGTAGTTTCCCCAACTGATATGGTCAATTATTTTGATATTCAACCTGTGCCAATAAGGCAATATTTTCATCAAAATATTTTTCAAAGCATTTCATTGGTTGATGATGATAAAAGGAGTGGTGTTGGGGCATACTGCAGTGCATAGGTACTTTTCCAAGGCATGTGCAACTCTTTCAGTCGGGATTTCAATTTCAATTTACACAGTCCAAGCTTTACCTTACTGATATTCTAGTTTCATAATGTGCTGTGGCCCCTGCTCAAATAAATAGTTGCATTTTTATCAGGCTTTACAATGAATGAAAAGAGGATAGATTTACAGTGTCATTACAGTGAGTTGATGAATAGTAGGTAGGTACCTACCCATAGGTAGGTACCTACCTTCTATCTGCAATCACCAGGTGCTAAAAATTATTGTTTTTTGTTCTTTTTGCATTGTTCAGCCAGCTGACCCAGACTGCGAAACATGGCAATCACAACAGGTGTTGTTGATGCAGAGGCACTAAGGCAGTGTGTGGTCCTGGTGGCACTGGATTTCTATTTTTGTGATTTTGTTTTATTTTTTAAGCCTTGATACAGGTTTTGCACATTTTCTGGAGTGACTAGGCACCAACTTTTTATCATAATGCACTGTTGTACGAGCACAAAAATCTATGTTTTGTTCCGGTGCTGGCTGGTTTCCCGTCCCATGGTGTGGACTGGTGCATGTTTGTCACCCTAGCTGATGCAGCTGGTTGACTCTGCTGCCATGCTTTACAGTCTGACAGCTGCTGGCTGGTGGAAAAACAGCTGACTACTGGAAAAGTGTTAATGGGATTTTGTGCTTGAATGCTGAAATGCTAGGTACTTGATGCTAAAATATTTGTATTTTTTCCTTTTACAGCTCCAAGGTATCATTCAAGATCACTCTCACCTCCGACCCTAAGCTGCCCTTCAAAGTGTAAGTATGCTGGGAACTCAAAGTGCAAATGGGGTTACTGACTCTTTCCTTGCAAGGTCACTTGTAAGCAATTGTATGGCTACCAGGTGAGAGTACCTACCTAATCCAGTACCTACTGCACTGATCAGTAAATGTATGCTTACATTGGTGCTTGTGCAATCATTTATTTGCCACCTTGAATATGTTTTCATATTTTATATAATTTCAAGGCTTCTGCCACAAGCCACAGCCCTATCTTCCTCACCATGAATGGATGTTGTGCCACCGCCACCCTGCCTGTCCCACTGTCATTCTCACTGACCCATTCTTCCCTTCCTGTTCCTGTAGTCTACTTAGCATTGTGTTTTGCTGGCCGGTCTCGCCCGCCCTGCTCCTGCAGTCTGAGTGTGACCATCTCTCATACCTAGCTAACCAGTCTCACTCATCCCGCTCCTGCAGTCAGAGTTGGTATCTGTCCTACTGCTCATGCTGCGCCTCTCTGACCTCCCTGACCGCCCCTGTAGACTGAGTGTGCCTGTCCGACTGTCAGTCTGAGTGAACTCGTCCCACCGTTGTGCCTCCCTGACCTCTCTGACCGCCCCTGCAGACTGAGTGTGCCCGAGAACACGCCGTTCACTGCCGTGCTGAAGTTCGCCGCCGAGGAGTTCAAGGTGCCGCCGGCCACGTCAGCCATCATCACTGACGACGGAGTCGGCCTCAACCCTCAGCAGACGGCAGGTCAGTGGTAAAACCCTCAGCAGACGGCAGGTCAGTGGTAATCTGCAGGGGACGCAGACTGATGGTAACCCAGAGTAGACGGTAGGTCAGTGATATAACCTGCAGCAGACGGCTGGTCAGTGATATAGCCTGCAGTAGGTCAGCGATAACATGCAACAGATGGCAGGTCAGTGATATCACACAGCAGACGGCAGGTCAGTGATGACTGATGGAACCTGCTGCTAGTCGGTGATAACACCCCGAAAACGGTAGTTCATTGACGAAAAACCACAGCAGGTCATATGGCAGACGGCACGTCAGTGATGAAATCGCCGCGGCTGGTAGGTCAGGGATAGAGATTGCAATCCCGGAACGTTTTGCCAATCCCGGGATCCCGAAAGTTTTTATTTCGGGATCCCGGGATCCCGGGATCCCGGCATTGTCACTTAATGTCGTAAGAGTGATTTCCTACTGACATATTTTGCGTCTTTAAGCTTACCACAAACAAAGAGGCAACCAAAAGCCATCCTTAGACCATGTCATTTGCATTAAAAACGATTGAATTTGCGAATAAAACGTTTCGATTTGATTAGCATTAAGTCTATTAGCATTTATTCCCAATTGGCCTTCATAAAACTGTGCGTCGACCAGATCGTTTACTAGACAGGTTCCAGCACATCCACGCCTCACTCACTCTTCGTCTACGGTACTCGTAGTTAGCGCGACAGTTTTAAGCCATTGCCATGTTGGTCTACTTAAAAACTCGCAACCAGTGTACGCCAAATTTGGCAGCTCCCTATTTCACAATGTTTTCAAGACGTCGCTTGGTCACTTCACCTCCTCCCGGTTCCGCTTTCATCACTAATGTCTCTCAGAATTTGCTCGTAAGTCGCTTTGAGAGCAGAGTCACTGACTGGGAGAGCTCCACTCTACCGTATTCAACGTCTGAATCAGTGAGCTCTGCCGTCACTTGCGTGACATCTGTGACATCTTTCTGCGACACGAGCTCAAAGACTGTCTTGATGACCTCCTTTGTTCCGGCCACGGACGGGCAAGTCAGAATCGCTGAACGATCTGTGATTCTGATAAAGATGTTGCAGCGCTGATGCTGCATTTTTTTTTTTGGCTTTCGGGACCTTTTTTCGTACGTATTTAAGCGGCTTAACCGCTGTGGGTGATACCCGAGAGCTACCAACACGGTCGATTGTGGACGGCCAATACGGGGTGCCAGCTAAATAGTTTATCTGCTTTATGTCACGCAGCACAATTAACAGTGTAAACAAGACTCGTGCAGCGGCTGCATTCTTTTTAAGGTGAAAACTGATTCTTTTCGGGATCCCGGGATTGGCGGAATTTCGGGATCGGGATCGGGATTAAAATCCCGCCGGGAACCCGGGATCCCGATCCCGGGATTGCAATCTCTAGTCAGGGATAAAACCGTCACTAGAGAGCAGGCCAATGCTAACCTGTAGCAGACGGCAGGTCAGTGATCGGTCGCGATCAGATGTCGCTAATGTCCGCCAGTAGACGAGAAACACTCGTCTATCGACGGGCGAGTGATTTTGTTCGATGCCATTTAAACACCCTTACCGTGAAAGGTATGTTGTTAGGAGTTACTTTTTCTGAGCTTCAGCGGCGATCTATATGCTGTATATGTGAGTGTATACAGTACCCAGTGCGTGCTGAAGTAAGGCTGCCGTCCCCGCAGGTACCGTGTTCCTGAAGCACGGCTCCGAGCTGCGACTGATTCCCCGGGACCGGGTCGGCTGCTAAGATGGGTCGCTGACTTTTGACCTGTGACCTGACCGTGACCTTGGCCCGGCCGCCGACACCAGCTGCCTGCCCCTGAGCTGTACCAAGCACAGTTCGACGGGGGAGCGGTGAGCTTGCAGGCCCAGAGACCGTATGTGACGCATCGAGCTGACTAAGACGGGCTTCAGAGACCAGAGCGAATGACAAACGCCCAACAGTGAATGGTGATGGTGGAATAGACTCGCTTTGCCGAGTGGGGGGGGGGGGGGAGTGGCGAGCGTAAACTTGTCGACCTCTGTGTGTCGTCAGGTGATCCATTTTTCCGCCGCGGAGTGGGTTTCGGTCATTCCCTTGTAGTGTTCATTCTAGTATCGGTTGCTGTTGAATTTACAGACATTTATAAGAAATAATTTATATATTAAGTGTCTCATCTGGTTTGTTCTTCGATCTGTCTCGCCTTTCTGGTTTCTTATGGTTCTAAATTTTACAAATATATGACTATTTTATTATTTTCTTTTGTCGTTCTGACTCTCTGAAGCGGGTTTGTTGAACGAGCTTTTGTTCTTCATCTCGAAAACTGCAAAAGGACAATCGACTGTCTAATCCAGCGCGGAGCGAGACATACGAGAGGCATACTTCACACAAGTAGACTCATTCGGCTGTGGCAGTTGTGCCGACACGACCACCGCCGCCACTAGCACTACCGCCACCACCGCCACCGCCACCACCACCGCTACCACTATCACCACCGCTACCACTATCACCACCGCTACCACCATCACTACCGCCACCAATCACTACTACCACCACCACCACCACCACCACCACCACCACCACCGCTACCACTATCACCACCGCCACTGACACTACCGCCACCAGTCACCACCACCACCACCACCACCACCACCACCGCCGCCGCCGCCCCGCTGACCGCCGCCCCGCTAACCGCCTCACAATGGCGGCGGGCGACTGCACCGTGTGATTTATGGTAATGGTCGGGTCGACGGTGGCATGCGTCCCCCGACGCGGCCGCGACGCCAGATTAAAACACTGTCGGGTCGTCCCCGGCCGTCTGACCTGCCTGCGAACGTCGTCTGATCCGTGACAGCCCTGTATCCGCCCCGTCCCGCCCGCCCGTCCGTCCGTCCAGCCGTATGGTAAGGTGTCCCGCAGCAAGGACACGATAGTTTTTGTCCCAGGCCCGACAAGTTTTGGGATGTGACCTGTGTGGTGTCCTATTCAAGGTTTTCTATAGAATACGGCCTACGGAGCCCGTTGTAAGTAGGCTGGGGACTTGCTAGCTTTCCAATACGGTGCTGGTGTTCTCATTCCATTTGTACCAATTGTAGTCCATTGCTGTCATTCTCCTCCCGCTGTGTGTAATTAACGCCAGCAGTGCGTGGTTATGGTTTAATTGTGTCTCAATTGCTCGCTCGTGTGGAATTCTACGCGAGATGAGGGACCCTCGAGACGAGGGAGAGGGAGAAACAAAATTGGTGGCAGCGGGTGAAATGCGGATCGCCTAAGTTTGTGGAAGATGCAATGTTCTGCGAACTAGACCGAAAACTTGCATGAATTTCTGATGTTGGTGCATGTCTTACGTAGCTCTAGCTGCTACACCAGTTTTACATCCGACGTTATGAGGGAACTATGCCCCTACATGCAATATTGTCGATGCATTTCCTGTGACGTATTATTTTGATCACTGAGCTGAAGCGTATCCTATCTATTGCGGAGAGTGTTCTTTATATGACTTTTGTCCTCAGTCTATCTATGTCCGTCATATTTTTATCCGTGCTATCCTCATCACATGTACAAGGGCCATGTCCGGAGCGACACATATCGGCCAGTTCTTCACACCGTCAGTGCTAATTAACCCGCGCCCGGCTGGGGGTCCTGGATTTCCACGCCCTGCTGGGGGGGGGGGGGTCTGAACACCCCCTCCTTCTAACTCGGCTCCTGGGCCACGTAGCGATACGCGGAAGGCGGCGTTCGAAAGAGCGTCAAAAATAATGACGAAATCACTTCGGTCAATTTTTTGGTCAGGTCAAAGGTCAGGTCACCAGAGGTCATTGAAGGCAAAATTTCGCCGATTTCCAGGTCGAATGTCAACAATTTCCAAGATGCCAACGCATAACTCGGGAACCAATAGAGCTACAGCGCAGCGGAAAAGCGCATTCGATAGCCCTATTAACGCCCTTTCTGAGTATATCTGTCAGATTTGTTCTAACGTCAACGGTTTTGCCTGCAGGAAGCAAAAACTGCAAAAATAGCCGATTTTTCCGGAAAGTTTTTTTTTCTGCAATAACTTTTGACCCAAGCCTTGCACGAGCTTACTTTTACCGGCATCGTGTTCCTCTCGTCAAGACGCATCGAATGAACTATAACTTGACCTTGAAAGGTCAACTTGAAAATTTGACCTCAGTTCAAGGTCATGACCTGACCTGAAAGGGTCATGTTGCATATCAGTCGATCCGTATCGTCGAGCTGAACACATCTAATGCGTTTTCATCGATCTAGCATGTCTCTATCAAAAGTTATTTGCGAAAAACTGTTAGATACCATTCGTGACCTAAGATGACCTCAGGGCATAAACAGGGGTCACGGACACCATTTTCATGTTCGGTGTGTCAAAATTACTTGTAATTCAGTGTTTGGGAGTGTTTATAATGTCTTTCGTCCAAAAGAGGCGCATTTCAATTTTCTCCCATTGACTTATAATGGGGAGGTCGCAAAATTGACCTGACCTTAGGTCATCGATATCAAAATTCTGAGATATACATTTTGTACGTGCTATTGCTCTTAGCAATCGCTGAAAGTTTTAAAGCGATCGGTCACTCGGTGTAGCTATGACAGACATTGAAACTTTTTATGAGGTGAGGTCACTTGAAGTGACCTGGTGACCTGACCTTGAATGACCTTGGTCTGAAATTTTCACAACATGTGTAGAATTGATGTATGATAAGGTGTACCAAAAACGGCGGCGCTCCGCGCCGCCGTTTTTGAGATATTTGCGAAAAACCACAAGGGGGGGGGGGGGGGTTCCACAGGGGTTCCAACCACAGGGCGCGGGTTAACTCTTCGAGACCGAGCTGCCTAGCCGTCCGTATACGATAACCGGCCCATGGGACCAGTTGCGCGTGCAATACCGCCGCGACCATCATCAAAATGCAAATCCACGCCGCTCAATCGGCTAATGGAACGCCGCGCTCTGGCCTGCCCACTGCCGCTCATCCAGGACCGTGGAATCGCCTCCGAGACGCTGCTGGGAGAGCAGCTCTTCATCACGTGCAAGCCGGTCTGATCAGACCCGGGTCGCGGGAGCTCTCCGCAATTGTCATTGGATGTAATCGGCGGTCCGCCCGAGGGGCTGGTCGGAGTTCATGAAGGTGTTCCCCGGGGACGATGGATGAGTGGATGGCTGCTTCTGGGTAGTTGTTGTCCTGCGGGGTAAATCAGTGGATATTAACAACTATCAATAGTCATTGTTTTTCCTCATCATGAGTGGAATCAAAAGGTCTAAAAATGACGTGATCTCTTATTTTAATAAGGTGTACGAGCACATGTAGCTTATTTAGCGACATTCTGACGTTGCGATGCTGAAAAGGATCATGTTCGTTTCTAATTTTCATCACTCACGCCCTGGTGCTCTGAGCATAACGCGCTCACGTGTCCGCAAATTATTTGCCGACGCACCACTCGAAACCCGATGCCGATGCCGATATTCGCGTATGGATTTTCTGCATCTCCTCATCGCGAGCACCGCCGACAAACAAGTGGGATAGGGTTACGGGCGCGTTTGATGTGGTGTAATGAAATGCTGCGGTAATGAAATGCTGCGGTCTATCAGGCCCAATGAGAGTCGATACACGGTGGCGTCCCCGCCAATGCATCGCCATCGCGAGAAGTGCGGCCGGTGCGTGGAAATTGTCAGATGGGTGGCGACGACCCCACATCATCTCTGCTGTAGGAGGGACGGCCTTTTGAGGTAAAAGGCAGGCAGAGGAAACGCTCAGATTAGCTTCGAACAAGCATGAGAAAGAACTGAACGACAGCGTTTGAATTTCATCACAGGCTCGATTATATCATGAAACTCTCGACCCCAATCTCCATCTCACAATCTATGTCGATGCCGTATCCGAAAAAGCCATGCTGTCTGCCTCAAACGAGGCATGACAGATACTGATGTACTGCTAATTCTTCTCGATTTTACGACAATGGCGGGATGAGTTACGACCACTCTGCTTCCTGTTCCATTGTCGCCGTGTCCTGCGATATACGGCCTTGGTCCTGTGGTGAATGAAATGAACGGTGTGGACCTCACAGGGCGATCGCGGATCGGGATGTCAGAGACACCTATCTGGGAGACACCGCACCAGCTCTGGCGATGAATTGACGAACCGAATCGCTACATTATAGGCTAGCCCACTATAATACATTTTGTCTCATGCTAGGCCCCAAAGGTCCTTCGATTTTCGGAGCTTGATTCATGCATGGGTGAAACCTACGGTTACATTTTATATCTCGAATACCTAGTTTCTCACGTGACTGGTAAATCGGAAACATGCAGTATGGGTAAAGGTTGAATGGGCACATGAGGAGTAAATGATGGACATAACTACACACCATTTTGTAAAGTGATACAGTGCGCAGTAAAGACTGCTGGCGTCACATCACGATCAAATTGTGGAGGGTACGGTGCAGACGGCTCAGGCTCCTTTTTCCATACAGCATCTCTAATGGGCAATGTACACAATGTTACTGCTTATATATAAATGAACGATGCTGCTTCCTGGTGAATGAGCTTACTGTTAGGTCTTCTTGGTGTTGAGAAATGCCACATGGAACCGGCTACGTGTATTGGCGGTTCACAATATAAACCAAAGAAGGAGCACAGACATGTTCGGACTCAGCCCGGCCAGAACCAATCCATCGACCCTGTTCATTCATACAAATCCAAAGTCGTAACCATGGAAACGGTAAACACGTGAAATAACATGCGGGGTCCAACACCATGGCAAATGCCAATACAATAACGTCTCCCGACTAACTAGGAAACCTCACATCTCCCCCCGGGTCGACCGGTAGGTCTTCAGCTCCGGGTCGACCTGTAACCTCCCCGGGGGCTGACGCCGTCGGCCGGTGCGCCGCGGTGCCATTGTCTCCGGCGGCATCTCCGAGAACCGCACCGTCTTTCGAGTTGGGGCGGGCGTCCCGTCCTTGTTGTCTCTGCGGACCAGACCTCCTCGTGTTGCGATGATTGGGCGGTAGGGGCGGATGAACCTCCTGTTACGCCACAAGATACGGCCGCTCGGCGTCTTGACGAGGTAGTCTCGGCGGCGTCCGATGCCCACCACGAGTCCCATCTTGTCCCACAGGCCCATGGTCGAGTCCTGGACGGAGACGTGCGCGCCGATGCGCAGTGGCCGCAATGGCTTAGCTCGCTCGTTGTACGCTTCTTCCGCTTTCTTCTGTCTCTCCTCTCCCTTTCGGTCGCAGTCTTCTGCGG